TGTCCCCTCTCACCAGACGCCGCCGCCATCGCTCCGGCCCTCACGTGACCGAGGGAACCCCGCGCTGCTCCCGCCCACCAACCCCAGTGCGCGATCTCTCCTGTATTTGCGTAACCACGCCCTTCGGTTTGGCCCCGCCCACCGCCGGCTGCAGCCGCCTCCGGGCGCTGTTTGCTCCCAGTTCCCTCCCAGTGCTCCCAGTAAGAGCGGGACTGGCAGGGAAAGCGCTCCCAATTCCTTCCCGCTGATCTCAGGATCGCTCTCGGTGCTCTCAGGATCGCTCCCACTGCCGCGCGGGCCGGGGCCGCTATGGGTAACCCACCCTAGGGCAGAGCGCGGCGCCTTTTGGGTGCCGGCACTGCCCGGGCCGGGCTGGGAGCGGAGGAGGAGCGGGAGGAAGAGGAGGGACAGAGAAAGAGGAAAAGGAAGAAGACGAGCAGGAACTGGAGAAAGAGACGGACAAGGAAGAGCAGCAGCATCAGCAACAGCACGCGGTTCCCCCGCTCAGGCTGCAGCTCCCCCGGCTCCTGCTGCATCGCCCTCCTCGCCTCCAGAACCCGCAGGTGAGTGGGGAGCGGGAGCTCGCCCCAAATCCATCGGGGGGGTCTCTGGGGGAGTTTTTTTGTGGGGAAGGGATCTTAGGATCTTCCAGGACCCAAAAGCTGAGTCACACATAACCCTTGGGGGAGTCCCGCGTGCCCTGTCCCTGCGGGCAGAGAGGCGATCCCGGGTTTGGGGATCCCAGGGAGAGCCGGGGGGAACGCGGGAGCCCCGGAGCGGGGAGAGCACAAAGGGGCGATCACACAGCTGGGATACCCCGGCAGCCTGCAGGGTTGAAGGAAGCGAGAGATGAGCGGGCTCCGGACCCCCCGAGGCTGAAAGGGGCGCTGACTTCTCCAGCTGCACTTGGGCAGCGGGACCATCAAAGCCAACACACTCAGCCCTTGTTTTCACGCCCAAAGCAGGATTTCCCGTTCCTAAACCTTGGCCGGATGGAGGAAAAGGAGGCTGCGAGGAAGATGGCCCGGGAGCCCCAGGCAGGTGAGGAGGAAGTCAGGGCCCTTTCCCCGTCTCTCCTGCTCCATCTCCCAGCCCAGCACGGCCCCCGGCTGCAGGACAACCCTGCTGCCAAAGCTGTCCTGCTGGGGACGCACTGGGGGGATCTCCTTGCCCTTCCGCGCGGCATGGAGGGAAGTCCCATCCTCTCCTTGTCCTTCCTCTCCCCAGGCACTGAGCTGAGGGCAGAGACCAGGGAGGATGAGTCACCACAGCAGAACCTTGTGGATGAGGCCATTTTGAGCAGCTCCACAGCACAGGAATCTAACGGGGAAGAAAAGCCCCGGAGATCCCTCACGAGGAGGGGCTGCAAACGCAGATCACGGGGATCTGAGGAGGAAAGACCCACCCTGGGCCGGGAAGGGGGCCGGAGCTCACAGCTGGGGGTCCCCGAGCAGCTTCAGGATGGGGAGAAGCCCCACAGGTGTGGGGAATGTGGGAAGAGCTTCAGCCGAAGCTCAGCCCTGATCCGCCACCAAAGGATCCACACTGGAGAAAGGCCCTATGAGTGTGGGCAGTGTGGGAAGAGCTGCAGAGATAACTTTGACCTGATCAACCACCAGAGGAGCCACACGGGGGAACGGCCGTATGAGTGTGGGGAATGTGGGAAGAGCTTTCAGAGAAGCTCCACTCTTCTGAAGCATCAGCGGACACACACAAATGAGAGGCCCTATGCGTGTCCCAAATGCGGGAAGAGGTTTCAGACAAGCTCCCATCTGCTCACACACGAGCGGATTCACACAGATGAGAGGCCCTTCCGCTGCCCCGACTGCATGAAGGGCTTCAAATATAACCCCGACCTCATCAAGCACCGGCGCATCCACACTGGGGAGAGGCCCTACGAGTGTCCCGAGTGTGGGAAGAGATTCACCCAGAAGTCGAACCTGATTGTCCACAAGAGAATCCACACCGGCGAGAGGCCCTATGAGTGTGGGCTGTGTGGGAAGAGATTCAGCCAGAGCTCTGAACTGATGCTTCACCAGAGGATCCACACTGGGGAACGGCCTTACGAGTGTCCCGACTGTGGGAAGACCTACAGCCGGAGCGATCACCTGATGATCCACCAGAGGAGCCACACTGGGGAGCGACCCTACGAGTGTGGGGAGTGTGGGAAGAGGTTTCAAAGCAGCTCAGATGTCCTCGTACATCAGCGCATTCATACAGATGAGAGGCCCTTCCGCTGCCCTGACTGCGGGAAGGGCTTCAAGCACAACTCCACCCTGGTCACCCACCAGCGCATCCACACTGGGGAGAGGCCCTACAAATGTCCCCAGTGTGGGAAGACCTTCAGCCAGAGGTCAGCCTTGACCCAACACGAATGGAGGCACCACTCGGAAAGCCCTGTGAGTGCCCCAAGTGCGCCCCAAGTGTGCACTGCTACAGTTCCCCAGGTGTGCACTGCTACAGTTCCCCAGGTGTGCACTGTTACAGTTCCATACCCCGTGGCAGTGTTTGTGCTGCATGCTGTCCAGTGGGCAGAGCCCCAGTGATCTGTGGTGCTGGTAAGCTGTGTTGGGAAGACACCTGGCTGGG